GAATTCAGATGTAAATTAGATAAACATTAAAACAAAAAACAAACCAAACCCATTGTCATCGAGTCAATTCCGACTCACAGTGACCCTATAGGACAGAGTAGAACTGCTCCATAGGGTTTCCAAGAAGCAGCTGGTGGATTTGAACTGCCAACCTGTTGGTAAGCAGCTGTAGCTCTTAACCACTGCCCCACGAGGGCTCCTGAGATAAGCATATCAAGGTTTAATTTACTGAAGTTGATAACAGCACCATGATTAAGAAAGAGAACATCCCTACTCTTAGGAAATACACAACGAAAGATTTAGGGGTAAAGGGCCATGATGCATGCACCTTACTCACAGATGGTTCAGAAATAAACAGTGTGTGCATTTGCGTGTGTATTACATATACAGGCAATCCTCGACTTACGACAGGGTTCCGTTCTGACAACCCCATCGTAAGTCGGTTCTGACGTGAATTGAATACTTCTTGTTTACTTTTCATTTCAAAACACAGCAGTGTTTTGAATAGTAAATCATAAAACTGAACATCTGTGAGTGCACATCTGAGAATGGTAACATCAGCAACTTACACACTGTAACACTGTATGTAGAACGTATTAGTAACAATAAGGTGCACCCAAAAAAACAACAGATGGTTTTAAGTGCGGTTTGACGTAACTTAAATACGGCACAAATCCAGGGATTACCTGTACGTAGAAATAGAGTGTGTGTATGTGTGTGTGTGTGTGTCAGAGTCCCTGGGTGGGGCAAACTGTTAGCATGCTCAGCTTGGTTGCTACCCAGAGGTGCCTCAGAAGAAAGGCCTGGCAATCTACTTCCAAAAAACCAGCCATTGAAAACTCTATGGAGCACGGTTCTGCTCTGACACACGAGGTCACCATCAGTCAGAATCTACTCGACTTGACCGCAACTGGTTTGGTCTATATCTATGTACAGAGAGAAGCAAATAATAAGTACTAATAACTGACTGATACAACAAATGGCGGTAAAATGTTAACAACAGGTGAATGAACCTGGGTAAAAGGTATGGAATGATCTTTGTACTATTCTTATTCTTGTAACTATTCTCTGAGTCTGAAATGATTTCCAACTAAGCATTTAAAAAATCCCAAACTATGTATTAAGAACTGCCCTATAACACTATCTATAGATATATCTTATCCCTTTTCCTCTTTTTTATTTTTCAGTTGAGGTACAATTAACATCAACAAAACGCACAGATTTTAAAGGTAAAGTTGTGACAAACGTATGCACACATGTAACACCACCCAATCAGGATACCGACCATTTCCCCAGGAAGTTTCCTTGCCTAATCCAGACCCTTTAACCTCACTTTAGACTTATTCCATGTTTCCGACTTTTTCTCCCAAAAGACTTACCCCATATGTGCTCTAGCAAAAACGTGGCTTCCCAATGGACCTCATACAAAATGTGTACTTCCTGCTTCTATGTTGTCACACGGGCCGTCTCCGCTGCCCAGAATGCCTCCTCTCCATCTCTACCTGTTGAGTTCTGCCTTCCTCAGAAACCGAGCTCAAATACCATCTTCTCCAGCTGCCTGGCCTGATGATATCATCCCAACAATGACATTCATTGTACATGTAATATGTACCAAGTCAAGAATACAAAAAGACGGAGGCACAAAGATATTCACTGCAGAACTATTTGTAAGAGAAAATAATTGGAAATAACTCAAATGTCCATTAGTAGGGCACTGCTTCAATAATCTAAGGAACAGCCGCACAATGGAGTGCTCTGTAGCTAAGGGAAGGAGTCAAGAACATCTTCAGAGAGCCCTATGGTGAGATCCCAGGACACACTGCTAACTGGAAAAATCAAAATGGAGTAAAATGTGTGCAGAGTGTTTATGGAACATGTAGAATGAGTTTATTTAAGAATGAGTGAAGAATAAACATACATATAGTTATTTGTTTATATTTTTTTAAATAGAAAGATACACTATATACTTTAAAAAATTGTTATCTACAGGGAGAGAAAAGGAAGAGGTGCAGGGGCCAGGGACAGAAGTTGGACTTCTCTGAATAAATCTTGTTTTGTAGACCTGTGTTTGTGTTGTTAGCTCCTGCCCACTAGGCCCCTGACTCATAGGGATCCCATGCAGGACAGAACTAAAAGCTGCGCAGTCCTGTGCCATCCCCATGATCAGTTGCAGATTGGACCATTGTGACCCATAGGGTTTTCACTGGAAGATTTGCAGAAGCAGATCGCCAGGCCTTTCTCCCTAGTCCATCTTAAGTCTGGAAGCTCTGCTGAAACATGTTCCATATCATAGCAACACGCAAACCTCTGCTGACAATAAAACAAATACACTCAACTTTGGTTTTGATATAGAGTTGCTGGCATAACTACACAGAAAAGAACTATTCCAAGTCAGTCTGAAACACAGTAATTCGACTTTACTTCCCTAGTGGAATATATCGTTAGGACAAAAAGACTTGAAAAATATTAAGCCATTTTCAGTCATCATATTGTCATTTAGTGTTGATAGAATTATTCTAAGACTATTGTGTATATATTGTTGGCTAAATCAAATAAGTAGTTATGTTAGAATCACTAAGAACTGAAAGTTTCTGCATGTGATAAAAGATACAGATGTAAGATGGATAAAATTAAGTAAAAACCTTCTAGTCCTGAAAATGAATTGGAAGTATCGATAAGAACTCAAGATGTATTTTACTTTACAAGGTATATACGCATTCCCTCTGTCCACTACGAAGGCCCAGAAACAATGACCAATCCTGTAATAATAAACACCTCTAGCTCACAGACTATGGTGTCTAACACCATTTCCTCCTAAATGGAACCAGGCTTAGAGAACATGCTGATCCCAGGCACGAGGCATAAAATACACAGGTGAGTCAGAATATCTTGTCCCCCCAGGTAGCAAGGAAGCTTTAGAAGATACTAGGATAGTGCCAAAAGGAGTCCACAGCTAAGGGGAAGAAGCTCATACTGGCCAGAGATGGGATAAACTGGAGCATCAGGATAATAACTGTAATAGAATAAACACTTCACTGGTATTTAAATCCATTGTCTGTAATGATATGGAAAAATGAAAGTAAAAAAAAACCCACATTAGTCCCTTTGGAAGATAATTAGTAACCAACTTATTATTTCAAAAACTTGTAAATAAAGGGAAAGAACTAAACATTTATCATGTCTTTCCCAAATGAACTGTCCCTCGAGAAAACCACATAGTTGATGAGTGTCTCTTTATAAAATTATTCCAGCTAATAAATAAAGCAGAAATCAAAGAATTTGAATATCGTCACTTACAACCCCCAGTGAATCAATGGATCTAGGTAATGACTACCAGTGGCTGCTATCGTCACGAAAAAGAAACGAAACCAAGCACTACAGACCCCAGGCTGGACGCCTACACCATCATGTATGAAGTAGTGTAGCAAAAAAGGGAGCATAAACCTGATCAAGCCTACAGATCTAGGAATTAATTTACAGGAAATATAGAAACTGAAAACAATAAACAACACCATGAGGATTTCAGGAGCAAAATCTAGACCGAGTAACTCGACAGGGCAAATGACCACGTTTCCTCAGCCAAAAAAAAAAAAAAAAAAAAAATTACAAGAAGAAAAAATGGAGACAAGACCCATAGATTAAAGGAGACCTAAGAGACATAGCAACGGAGCCCTGGTGGCACAGTGGTTAAGAGCTCGCCTGCTAACCCAAAGGCGAGCAGTTTGAATCCACCAGCTGCTCCTTGGAAACACTATGGGGCAGTTCTACTCTGTCCTATAAGGTCACTATGAGTCAGAACCAACTCGACAGCAACGAGTATGGGTTTTTATGGGACACAGTGACAAATTAAAATCTATGAATATTATTTGCATCTTAATTCAAACGAACTATTAAATTTATTAACCAGTTGGATAAAATTTGAATCTGACTAATGTCATGGAATCATTAACAACAACTAATTATTCTTGATTAATAAGTAATAATTTTAAATTAATCATTATTAATAATTCATTGATGAAATATTAACAATACAGATTACTGGCAATAATTATTAATAAAATATTCTTGTGAAGTATTATTAAAATATAAATTAATAAGGAGAAATAAATATTTCAACTAGAATTATATGACGCCTGGTATTTGTTTCAATGTGACCTAAGAGATGAAGATGGCGGATGGGATGAAACAAGTTTGATCTTGAGTTGAAATTGGTTGAAGCTGGAAGCTGGCATGGGGGGTCCGTGTTACTACTCCCTTTACTTTGTATATGTTTTGAGATTTGAATTGCTTTGCATTTTTCATAATAAAAATAAAGTGTAGTGTAGGTATATTTGTATGTGTGTATGTATCAAGCACTCTGCTAGGTTCTGGAGAGACACATTTTGTAACAGGACCATGTATGACCCACCACAGGTAGCATAACTACACTTATTTATTTTTTTTGTTCATCTTATCATTAGTAATATGTACTACATACAATGTTGCCGTGCGTAATTTGCTGATGTTATCATTCTCAGACATTCACTCACAGATGTTTGATTTTATGATTTACTGTTCAAAACACTACCATATAGATTTAGTTTTCTAAACTAAATCCGGGGCTTCAGTTGCTTGAAAACATGGACCCAAACGTTGATCACTTTGCTAAAGCTGATAGGCATGACAAACCCCGTACCAAACCCACTGCCACTGAGTCAATTCCGACTCATAGCCATCCTATAGGACAGTGTAGAACTGCCCCCAAAGGGTTTCCAAGGAGCGGCTGGAGGATTCCAACCACTGACCTTTTGGTTAGTAGCCACGCTCTTAACCGCTGCACCACCAGGGCTTCGTATGCATGACAGAGGTTCAATAAATATGTTAGTTGACTGAAAACTAGAAGGAAGGGAGGGAGGGCGGGGGAGAGGTAGAGTGAGGGAGATGGAAGGAGGGAGGGAGGGAGAGAGAGCAAGGAGACAAGACCGTGAACCCATGAAGACAAGGCAGAAGGTCATGCTTACCGGCACTTTCATTTTAAATTCATCCCGATAGTATTTAATGCCAATGTCAGTGAAAGTCCTCTGGATGAAGTGAGACGGACGAAGGATGAAAACAAGCTGCAAGTTTCCTGGAAATGCCACCTGGAAGGATGGTGAAAAGTGTCGGGCAAAAGAGCAGATGTCACATCTATCACCAAGGGAAGGACTACTTTGGTCTCTTCTGGCCCGAGATCACAGACGATAAATTTAAAGTGGACAACATGGATGGCAAAGAATTAGAATAGATTTCACGGGATGTCAGAGCTGGAAGAGACCTTAGAGGTCAGATAATCCAACCCCCCACCCCCGTTAAAAATCAAACCAAACCAACCAAACAAGACATGCTTTTCATTTTCTGATTTTAAAAATAATTCATACTCTTTACAGAAAAATCGGGAAATTAATAAAAGCATGCATTTGAAAAAGAAAAGTACTCATGATCTCATGACCACATTTAATATTTCAATTTATTTACTTCTAGGCTATTTCATAGTTAAACTACACCACAGACATATTTTCTAACTTGCCTTTTCACTCAATATCATACCATGAGCTTTTATTCGTATTAGTAAAATTCTTTGGAAATATTATTTTTCATGGCTGCACAATTTATTTAACCAATTCCTTATTACTAGTTGTATATGCTTTTCCATAGTTTTACTACAGGAAGCCCCCAACTTAACAACATACTCGAATTACAATGAACTTCACTTACGCTTGTTTTTTTTGTGCATCTTATCATTAGTAATATGTACTGCATACAATGTTGCCATGCGTAATTCGCTGATGTTATCATTCGCAGACGTTCACTCACAGATGTTTAATTTTATGATTTACTGTTCAAAACGCTACCATATAGATTTAGTTTTCTAAACTAAATCCGGGGCTTCAGTTGCTTGAAACCATGGACCCAAACGCTGATCCCTTTGCTAAAGGTGATAGGCAGATTTGGGAAGCAATGAGATGTTACCACAAAATACATGAAGAAAAAAGAAAAGGGACAGACAGACAACTCTCACTAATTTTCTGACTAGAAACGTCATCTCCATTCCCAGGGATAATCCAGATGTTCCAGAACCTTCCTCAAGTGGAGTTATTACCTCAACTGACGAAACACCATCGTCATCCAACTCTTCATCGTCAGAGTAAATTTTTATGATTTGTGTATTTTTTTCGTGTATCCATGTATGTATTAAAATATATCTTTAAATTTATATGCAGTTTCCAACCTCCCGAAACAAAGATAGGATTTATAAAGATACTGATAATAAAAGGCAATAATAATGAAAACTTAAAAAAAAAAAAATAGGTATTTGACTTATGTCAGAACTGACTTATGACATAAGTCTGGAGCTACCTGTATTATAAATAACACTGAAATGAACATATTCATCCATATATTGGAACATTTTCTTGAGAGAGAGTCCTAGGATTACTGAGTCAAATACTTAGTATTTTAAGGGCTCTTGTTGCATGTTATTGCCAAGTGGCTTTCAGGGAGCGTTGCCCTCATCTTGAAGTGAGGTCCTGGGAAATGAGATAACTCAGATCCATATAACTACTTAGCCGCAAAGAAGGAAACCCTAGTCTCCCATCACCTGTGGCTTTCCATTCTTCCAGTGGTTTCCCAAAAGCAGCCTTCTGAGGTTCTTGTTAAGTAAGAATCTGGTCCTCACCCTGGAAGACTCTGATTCATTAGGACTGGGATGGAGTCTAAGTATCTATATTTTCAATAAGTAGCCCTCACCTGAAGGATGGGGAATTCTGACAGACAGCCAGATTTGAGGAACCTGTACTACAGCATCTTTTACCCACAGAGTGATCAATATAATCCTGAAACAAATTAGACTCAGGAGTTAGATAATTCTGGTATTATTATGGACCCTGGGAAACCAGAACTCTCTAGAGGCCAGACATCTGGAATAGTCATGGGCACTGTCAAGGGTCTGAATCTTCACCACATCAACCATGGTTGCAGGTACCCCAGAGCTAAATCTTTTAACCACAACTAAACCAAAGGGATAAAACAATCTGTGCCCAAAGGGAAAGGACTCTACCCTTCCTCCACCTTTGAAATGCAAGCTCCTGAAGAGAAGAACTTGCATTTTGTTACCTCATGACAAGATAAATGAGCTGAGACACTCTTTACGTATCAGGGTGAGGCTCTAAAGTCATCTGAGAGAAATCGTGTGCACATGTGTACGTGTGACTGCCTCCGTACGCGGGTGTGCACGAGGCTTCAGACATCCCTCTCCTGTCCTAACCCCTGCACCTACATCACCACCCTACCCCACCCCATCCTCTTCAACCAGTGCCAATGGCCCCAGCAGGTGTGACTGGCCTGAGGCAGCTCTGCCTGCCCTTTTGGCTAAGTCCAAAGGTCTGAGACCCCTCAGAGGAAGGATACCTTCTACCCTCCTGAAAGGCAGCTACCAGAGATCAAAACCAGACTAATAAGATGGGAAAGAAAAACCATCCAAGGTTGCACATTTCAGAGCTAAAAGCAAACACACCTTTAATCAAGCTACTTAAATATCACTTCGTCTGGTTTTGTCACTGTTTTTCTAATATGTGAGAAAATAATTTGAAAACTGAAATGAAGACTGTCTAAAACTAGGTTACCCCTAAAACAAACCCTAAGACAAAGACTTGAGTACAAGCAGTTTATTTGGGGGGGTGATCCTAGGACGCAGAGCGAGGGAGCAGAGAGGTGAGGTGGTGATGGCTGGAGAGCTAATACATCAATGTCGTGGTGAGTGCTGTGGCAAGAGGGGCTAAGACCCTCTGAGACAGTGTGTGGCATATACCACAGAATTGTCCCGCTGACGGACATGGAAGCTGGGGTATCTATCCACCAACTCCCATAGCTCAATGGCTGCAGGTCACTCTGGGGGCACTGACTTCCCAGCACTCCCTGGCTGCTCTCTTCAGTGACCAGAGATGTCAGTAAGGTAGAGAGACTCAGGAAGCCTTTGACATGCTCAGGAACTATCTGCAGGAATTCTCTGCAGGTGGAGAGGGGCTATGGGTGGGAAACAACAGCATCTGCTACAAAGAACTTCCCAAAATTTAACATAAAATAACTGCCTTTTCTCCGTGCATTCATTTCCCCCATGAATTTGACATGAAATAGTTGAACAGACGATTTAAATGATGTTTATAATGACAGCACAAAAATAAATATTTACAGCTATTCGTGTCAAGGATGCCTTTACGGAGCTCCACTTGTCCCTTCGTCTGTCGATCACAATGATGAACCCGATGCTGGCGGCCTTCATGCTGTTTAAAAAGGAGTAAGTGGTTAGTGTCTGCGGTCAGGGGAGACCTGTGGGTTCTGTGGGGCTCTGGCAGCAGAATCTCTGCTAGAGCCTCCACAGCACCTAGGCTCACTGTGTTAACCACCCGCACAGCGAAAGGGAATAACCGGGTCTACGTTCCCCGCAAAGAAGCCACTCCCTCTCCAGCCTGAGCCTGAAGAAGCGTGCGTGCTCATGCATGAAGGAAGATAAGCATGTCAGCAGAGCATCACATGTTCCCCACATAGGCAGAGGACTTCAAGGCTGAGCTCTGCCATCTTTCCACTCCCACAGCACTATCAATATCCTTCTCCCTGGGGGCGTCGTGGTTAAGAGCTCGGCTGCTAACCAAAAGGTTGGCAGCTCGAATCCACCAGCCGCTCCTTGGAAACCCTATGGGGCAGGTCTACTCTGTCCTGTAAGGTCACTATGAGTCAGAATTGACTCCAATGGAAACCCTATGGGGCAGTTCACTCTGTCCTATAGGGTCGTTATGAGCCGGAATCGACATGACGGCAATGGGTTTGTTTTTTTGGTTTAAGGGTCAGTCCTAGAGGTGTTCGGAAGTAACACCTGTCCATGGAAAACAACCCTCCTCAGTGCCTGGCTTAAACAGGTCAACAGACCACATGCATAAGGCATATCATCTTCGTTAAGACCACAAGGAGTCTGTTGGGTTCCCTCTTAAGTCCCCACAAAATTCTCACAAAACCCTTTGAAACTAAAGTCTCAAAAGTGGGAGTGTTTTTCTTCTCTCTTTGGGAGGAAATGTGGTAGAGAGGAAACAGTAAGGACTTCAGAGCCTGGTTCACCCCTAGTGCTGCCACTTACTAGTGCTGAGACCTTGGGAAAATCACCTCCTGTCTGAAACTCATTTTCCTTCAGGGTTTGGAACCAGTTCAACCTCCTGCTGAGAATTTGCTGCCCCAGATATACTGAATCTGAATCTACAGCTTAACCAGATCCCCCAGGTGATTCTTATGTACACATAAGATGCAAACAATGTATACATAAGAATCACCTGGGGATCTGGTTAAAATGTAAATTTGGATTCAGTATATCTGGGGTGGAAATGCAAATTCTCAGCAGGAGGTCAAACCCGTTCAAAACCCTGGTTTCCTTATTTGTAAAATGAGAATAATACCACTAAAAGTGAAGTGACAAAAAACACAAACTCTGGAGCCAGACTGCCTAGGTTTGAACTCTGAATTCTACTCTTTACATTAATTGTATGTTTAGGGGGGAAAGTTACTTAACCTCTATAGTTTCTCAGGCTCCTCATTCGTAAAGCAGGAATAAGAATATCTATCTCATAAAGCTGATCTTACATGTTAAAGGAGTATGTGTATGTATAGATGCCAGAAGAACTATATAAGTACTATTATTATTTTTTATGTGCTTCTCCTAGAGATTGAAAGAGATCAAGTACTGAAACCTAGCTGCCCACAGTAAACCTTCAATGTTGTTAGCTACTGTCAATTCAGCCCTGACTCATGACTACTCCATATACAACGGAATCAAACCATTCTCATCCAAATCTTGGCTGATTTTCAAAAGCAGATCACTAAGCCTTTCCTCCTAGTCCATCTTAGTCTGGAAGCTCCACTGAAACCTTTTCAGCACCCCAGCAACATGCAAGCCTCCACTGACAGATGGGTGGTAGCTGTGCTTAAGGTGCCCTCAAACCTTCAATAACTTACTAATACTGAATAAAAGGTTAGCTTCACCCTAAAAAGTATCTGTGCATGAAAAAGGCAGAAGAACCAAGCAAATCCAGCAAGAAAACCTAAGTAGCTGCTCTGAGATATCACTGAAGAATTTTGTAAGGGAGCTCAGGGCTCTTAACCAAGGTGGAGTTGGGAGAAGCTCAGAAAACACAGTATATAAACACAGGCTGTGTCCCGGACTATGAGGTGTGAGAGGCTGCCTTACACACACCTCCCCAGCCAAACAGGAAGCCAGCACTCCTCCCAGCAAAGTTCCCAGCTCCACACAGACCAAGTCTCAAGACCAGGACCTCTGGGTGAACTGAGTGTGGGATCTGCTGGAAAAATACCTGTGCGCACAAAGGGCTGTATCCCTGACACAACTGTGCAGAGCCCACAGTTCAGAAAAAAGAGAATCCTGACACTGATTTTATGTACAGCCCCCACAAAAGGTGCACGTTCTAAACAATGCTCCATCGTATCAACTACCGGTTTTTGTTTCTGGGTTTTTTCCCCCACCTCATTGTGCTCAATAAAGGCATCAAAACCTCAATCAACTAAGCCAAATGCGCAGGAAATGCACCGTCTTTAGGGAATGCTTGGCTGTTTTAACCCCTACTGTTCATTTTAACGCGAAGGTCCTATGATGTGCAAGATACTTACCCAAATGCCATTTAATGTAATCCTCACAACCACCCTGTGAGGTTGGTGATAATATTTCTATTTTATAGACAAAGAAACTAATCCTCAGAGATATTTAAAAAAATAATAACTTGCCCAAAGTCATACACTATGTGCAGAGTTAAGACTCAATCCAAGTCTTCAGGTTCCAAAACCAATGTTCATGCCACGGAATTTATGCTTTCTTATTACAGGAAATATTGTAGCACTGTATTCCTTCATTTACCAGTCTTAGTAACTCCTCTGTAACAAATATGATCGAATTTTTGACAACTCAAACCCAACATTTTAGATATCATTAAATATAAACCGTGTAGGATAAGAGATTAAAGTAAATGTGTTCTCATCCCAAATTCCAGAGCAGTTCTGTGGTAGGGTGCAGTGTTTATTTTCTTAATTAAACTCTGATAGTACTATGTTTTCTTAAGATTTGTCTTTTTGGCAAGCTAGGCATAGAAATCTTTTGGCTAAGTGAAATTTTCCTGTATTGCTATAAGAATGGAATCAAACAGAGGGCACCCAACCATCCCGGTTTTCCCAGGACTAGGGATTTCCTGGGACACGTAGCTTGCAGGGCTACAGTGTGCAGTCCCGGACAAACTGGGCTAGCTAGTAACCCTCATTCAAATGTTGAACTGCAAGCACACATACAAAGAGAATCACGGCATACTACCTATGAGGCTACTGAGGGCAATCAAAGTACTCTTTAGGATGCTTATGTGTATTGACAGTTAACGAAATGTTGTGATCTTAAGTGTTGTTGTTGTAAGCTGCTGTTGAGTCGGCCTCCAACTCATGGCAATTCCATCCAAAATGGAATGAAATGCTGCCCAGTCCTGCCCCATCCCCATGATCAGTTGTGGACTGGACCATTCTGATCCATAGGGTTTTCACTGGCTGATTGTTGGCAGTAGATCACCAGGCCCTTCTTCCTTGTCCGTCTTAGTCTCAAAGTTCTGCTGAACCCTGCTCAGCACCATAGCAACGTGCAAGCCTCCTCTGACAGACAAGTGGTGGCTGCTCGGAGGTGCGTTGGCCAGGAAATCAAACCCAGGTCTGTTGCATGGAAGGTGAGAATTAAACCACTAAACCACCAATGTCCCTACATGATGTTGTTGTTGTTAGGTGCTGTTGAGTCAGTTCTGACTCACAGCGACCCTACGCACAAAATAATGAAACACGGCACCATCCTTATGATCGTTGTTAGGCCTGAGCCCATTGTTGCAGTCACTGTGTCAATCTATCTCACAGAGGGTCTTCCTCTTTTTTGCTGACCCTCTACTTTATCAAGCATGATGTCTCTCTCCAAGGACTGCTCCCCCCTGATAACATGCCCAAAGTATATGAGATAAAGTCTCACCATCCTTGCTTCTAAGGAGTATTCTGGCTGTACTTCTTCCAAGACAGATTTGTTCATTCCTTTGGCAGTCGATATTATATTCCATATTCTTCACCAACACTATAATTCAAACGCATCAATTTTTCTTCGGTCTTCCTTATTCATTGTTCAGCTTTAAAATGCATATGAGGTGATTAAAAACACCATGGCTTGGGTAAGGCGCACCTTAGTCCTTAAAGTGACACCTTTGCTTTTTAACACTCCAAAGAGGTCTTAAGTAGCCATACTTAATTTTACTTTATTACTTATTCTCTTTTGAATAACAGTGCTCAGGATTCTTCCTGGTATAGGAGTTAGAAATACTAGTCTATGGTTTTAAAAGAATTATTATTCTTATTCCAAAATTAAGAATTCATAATGTTTGCCAGTATTGCAGCATCTTCTTGGCATCTTCATTTGCAAAACGGTGGACTGGCACAAACTGGCGTCAAATACTCCTTCCAACTTCAGCATTCTACAACTTTTTGATTCTACATAGTTACTTCAAGTCCCTAGGGACCACAGATGTCCCCCACCCCCCACAAATTCAGCTGATAATTTTTACAGGGCTTGGGACACATTATGAGATAATACCAAATGAAGAAAGTTAGACATAGGAGACAATTTAGTTTAACCTCTCGAATATCTCAGAATCTTCATCATATCATGTCTCTCTCTCCCCAAACCTGAAACCTAGCCTCACCTTATCTTTTGCTGTATTTTTCAACGTCTCATCCACAGCGAAAAGTTGCTTTCTACTTTCTCTGCAGAAAACTAAGCTCTTTGTGTAGGATGGATGGGAAGCTGTGACTCTAGTGCTCTCCTTGATGATAATGGCAAATCCCCAACACACCAAAGAAGAGAATCAGATGTGCTCCTGGTGTACAGGAAAGCCAGGAAGAACAGTGCTCTGAGGGGCATCAAGAGCTTGTGGGCAAGAGAAGGAGGGACAGCCTACAGAGCAACCAATGGCAATGTATGGGACTCTCCACCTTATTTTTTTTTAATCCTGCGTCAAAGGTTTTTTTTTAAAGATAATTGTAAAAATGTGAAAACAGACTGGATTATTGGATTATAGTAAGGTGTTCAATTAATTATCATAAATGATGGTATCATTATGATTTAAAAACAATCCATATCTTTTACAAATACATACTGAAATATTTACAGACAAAATGATCTACTATCTGCTTCAAGATAATGACAGGAGGGAACATG